ATATCATGGCAGTACGACAAGACACCATCGCCATAACGCTCATGGCCGTTACACTTGCTATTCGGAGTGCCAACCATGCGGCCTTCGCCGTACCCTCCTTGAGGAAGCCGTATGAACCACTGGCCTCGATGAAGAGCAAATGGTTCAACATCAGAATCTTTGCGATCGAGATGCTCCATCTTGTAGCTTCCGTCGTTGTATTTCTCTTGAACATCGACAAGCCGGTTGTCTTGCTTCTCGGCACAGGCTGGAACTTTGCGGGAGAAGTGAGTCGGCCCTTTCTCGCGGACATCAGTAGCTGACTGACATCCTGAAGAGGCTGTTGTGGCATCGTCTCGTCACTTCAGAGAGCTGGCTCTGGTGTTTGGCGTTCATCAGCCCGGTATACTCTGGTCTGGTGGTCACCACCGGTGTGCATGTCCGACCACATCAAGCTGCCCGGTACTCGACACTCGCTCTCCTGACACTCGCCGCAATCTCAGCCTTGCTTTGGGCTTTCGACTCTTTCCTTGACTCTCTTAAATCCGACCAATTGGGCCAAGGGACTGGCGCTGAACTTCTTCATCGATGGTACATCTTTTGCCAAGTCGTCACTTTGAACTGGAAGCCACGTCAAATGAGAAGGCAAACCGTTCTCTTGGCCTGTTACATGGTCCTCATGCTTCTATTCTCTTGTTCTATCTGGCTCGCTCTTCTGGTCCCCAACGAGGACTTCCACTTGGTGGGCATTTACTCCTCTTAGTTCCTGGATCACGCATTTGCTGACATAGCAGGCCGTGTTCTTGGTGTCTACCGTCATTTGCAGTGTATCGCCGTTGCACGCTCTGGGACGAAGACTCTCCAACACTTCTGGAAAGGCTTCTGGGCAGACGGGAAGGACTTGTGGATGGTCTTTAAAGCTGGGGAGTAAGGTCGGACGGCATTATCGATCAGGCGACTCGAACGTGAAGTTTTCCTCCTCAAGCACCGTCCATCATCTCGATTCCGCTCATGCATAATGCAATTCCATGAACTGAGTTGCTGAGGTTACCCTCCTTCTCCGAACACCGGTATGATCCGTGAGGTTTATCTCGCAAAACGACGTATCACACCCCCTTCCCGCTGATGCCCTGGCTCAGTGCTCCACCACCCATGAAAATGACCAGTCTGCTCGTGCCGCCCGACGCGCAGCCCGGGATATTCCTGTACGCTGGTCTGTGCTGTCGCGGTGAATCCGCCACCAAATTGGCATGGTGTCCCGGCGACAGAGCAGGCACACAGCCCAGTCTCAGGTCATACAAGTGACAGCCCTGGGCCCTCGGTCGACCCGGTGCGCACCCACGTCTGGGCAGCAGCGTATAAAAGACACAAAGGCCAGTGGGCCCTAGAGCATTAGTTGTAGTCTTTTAAGCTAGCCTGTCTCTCAGTCACCAGGGCTGATGACCTTGCCTCCATCGCACCGCATTTCGCCAACCTTTTACCATGTCTTGTTCGAAGTGCCAACGCAGCTTTCCGGAGACCGCAAGAGGTCAGAAGCAATTGGAAACGCACTGCCGATACCAAAAAGGGGAAACGGTCTATGTCTGCATGAGTGATGCGTTTGCACCTGGTACCCAGGCCGGATGCGGCAAGTCGTATGTAAAGAAGTCTAGCTTGAGAGCCCACCGGACTCGTGAAAAGTCCTGCCATCAGGGCCTGATCATGCTTTCAAGCGACCTCCCTGAAAAGCTTTTGGTGAGTCTTTAACGTCCATAGCAATTCTAACAATCTCTAAAGAAGCAACAGTCGGGTAATCCGCCTCCCCATTCTCAACAGGCTATCGACGAAGCACAGCCAAGCTCGCATCAACGCAGAGAGCCAGAGGTGACTGCGAAATCGGGGACAATCGCAGAGTCTCGATCTAGGCCCAAAAGCGTTGCAAAGCGAATGAAGAGAATCAAGGCCAGACTCAAGAAGACTGAAGAACAGATCAACTACCAGGATGCTGGTATGAAGCAAGCTCAAGCGACCTGTACGTCGCTACAAGAACAGTTCAAATTGGCTATAGCCAACCAAAACAAAGGTTTCAAGGAGATCAAAGTTATGATATCGAGAATTGAAGCTCGCCTCGCCATTTCGACGGCCTCCCATCCTGCTACTCCTGAAGCTCTCTCCTGGTCGCGTCAGCCTCCCCCAACCAGGCCAGCAAACGCTGGGGCCAATCGTCCGCTGCCATATCCGAACGGATTTTATGAACAGAGCTGGCCCAACCATCTAGACTTGCGTGCTCCGCAGTCAAGCGTCAACATTGTGCGGCCTCTGCAACAAGGGGTGCTCTCACACAGCACACCACCGAGCGTCGAGGCCGGCGCAAACCAAGCTTCAGCACCGTATCAATTAGGCGGTAGGGGAGAGAACATTGACACCTCTTCGAATATTTCTCAGCAATATAATGGGACGGAAATCGTGAAGGGCGTTCCTTATTCATCAACTTTCGAGGTGCCAGGAGGCGGGCTCTCGATTTGATCAAATCGGATATCAGGCTCGTCTTATCAAAATACATGAACTTTTCAGCGTAAGTGATTCAGACGATAACCATGAGCTCAAGTCTCTGTGCTCAGACCATCCTGATGACTTCTTGTGGTGAGGCAGGAACTACCAGAGCGTTACAGGCGAGGGGTGTCTAGCCTTGTTCGCCACGTCCTGGCCCCGCAATCCCCGACCAGCCAGCTTCTCGGGATAGGCTGATTTGCAGGATATATTCATAGGCGGGTTCTGGACGGCCGATGGAAGTGCAGAGTCAAGGCATGATTGAGATGAGTAGGAATCATCCATGATGAAGTTTGAGCAAGGCTGGCGGCGACAGGAGGGATATCACGAAGTGAAATGGAGCTTTCTTCGTACGCATTCTTGTCTATTTGCAAACTCTGAAGCGGCGAATCACGTATCGATACATTCCATTTAAGCTTTGTTCAGCCCCGTGACATGGGAGGACGGTGCTGGTGCTTTTGCTGGTGCTTTTCTCAATTCCACCCAACATCGCCCCTCACACTTCTGCACAGCATCGACAGTACAAGGCGGTAGTTCAGTGGTGGCTGAAGGTCTCGTTGTCATTAGGGTGTATTTCACACATCATTCGGCTTCGCTGTGCTGCTTGCACGATTTTCACATCACTATGGGTGCATGAGGTCGCGCCTGTACAGACGTCATGCCTGGG